CAATGAGAGTACCTATACTTTGCCCATTGTTGGAAATAACGTCAAGGAGCATTAGGATCACTGGGTACTCCTTTAAACAGTTGTCCTCCAGAAGGCCTCCTTCAGCTACAGTGGAGTTGTATCCCCTAGATGCTATATGTGACCCGCTCTGGCAAAATGAGTCGGAAGTCGCAACGTTCCATTTTAAAATATGGGCCGATTATGTGGAAAAACAATGACATAACAAAAAAAGAAAATTTTTTTTTTTGCTAATTTCAAAGAACAGACATTCAAAAATAATCTCCCAAAGTTTCGTAGTCCAGATAATTGAGTAAAGATATTTAAATGATGATTAAAGTTGTCAAAGCTTTAAATTCGCTGAAATAAACATTGCTCTTCTCCCCTCGTCAGCGCTGCATTTCCCAGGTAGCCTATCCGCTGAAACGTTGAATTCAAAGTGTTGAACTCACTGGAGGCTTCTAACCTAAGCTTTGTGAGTATATTTATCTGCAAGAAGAATACAAGTAAGGCTGTAACGATCGCAACACTCAGATCCACGAACTTGTGTCGCGGTGTGAGAAGACAGAATCACGACACGTCCCTTCAAATCCCGGAGTTATCCTCCACATCTTTAAATTACTATTAGTATTATTTGAAGTTAACGTTATAAAATATGTAGACCTACACCACAAAACTAGTTAAATGATTACTAAATAGTTTAAAATTGGGCAATTTCAGCGTTATGGAGGAGATCCATAATTCCCAGATAATTAAATATTTTAATAAATAGGCCTATGTGAACCACACTGCACAAACCAAAAGTAATACCCACCGGATGAAGAAGGGTTGACTCTCCCCAGAACATAAAATGTTTTATTTTATTTTCCGTGTTCGCATTTATGAGGAAAAAACAATGATACGGATGTGACCGTTCTCTGGAAGCAGCACTAAAACTTTCACAGAGCCTAAACAGAAAGCAAGCACAAAGCCGTTCTTTAAAGTGAATTTCGTTTGGAAATAATTGTATCTTAATTTAAATCAATGTTTCATCAACCAATTACCAGGATTTAATAATAAGAAATAAATTGCAGACAAAGGATAGGCTAGGCCTAATCACGACACGGAGCGGCAGCACGTGAATTGAAGCTCGTCTCATGAACCGAAAGTCAGCGTATAAGGTATCCTAGCCTCACAAACTTGAGAAATATATATATTGCAATGTTTACTTTTAAACAAAACCATTCAAAACGAAAGAAAAGAGACTGCTCTCTGCTTATGTGGGCTAATCCGTATGAAAAGTGAATTTCTCTCTGGCTCCTCTGTTCAATCTTTCTGATTTTAGAACATTTTTGTAAAAGTGCCTTTTTAATTATTTATTCCAAATAACTTAAATAATTTGAGCTTCAGCCTGGTTAAATCACATTTATATATATATATATATATATATATATATATATACACATATATATATATATATATATATATATATATATATATATATACACATATATATATATATATATATATATATATATATATATATATACATATATATATATATATATATATATATACACACACATATATATACTATTTGGTCAAATTAAGCTATAAAATAAATAGTTTATCTTTTAAATGCAATGGATTTTGAAAGACATCAACAAAAAAATGGGCAAAAAAACTTTAAAAGCGATTCTCAGGTTTTCAATTGGAAAAAAAGGGCAGACGACCAGAATTCAAATGTGTATATCTTTACAACCATTCAAGGTATGACTTTGACTAAAATATCATTTGAAAGCTTATGGTGCCCTCTTTCAATTAATACCAAAATCTCAATTTTTTAATTTGGGTCACTGTGACTCATTTTGCTGGATCAGGTCACATATTACAGAAGGCATCTTGACATTGCTGCGCCAACTCCGGTGTGAGCTTATAAAGGAATTTTTCTTGACTTTCAGTGCATCTTTTTCCCTCAATTTCCACTGAACTGGTCTTGGGTGGTTTTTTTAGGCTGGGATCTAGCAACTGGACAGAGAAGAAAGTGATGGTGTCGATCTTTGCACTCTGGATTCCCACACAGATAAGTAGTTGTCCTGCAGTAATCCCCGTTGTGGACTTCGAGGCATCTCTTGCAGGCACCGATTTGTTGCACGGCATCCCTCTTTTCTGACGGCTTTAGGTTAACTCTAAACTTTCTACAGAAATATAGTTTCTTTCTGTGCTTTGGGTCACCGCAAATGATGCAGCCTTCTATTTCACTGCTGGACTTGGACGTCTTTGTTCTGGCGTACTTAAGAGACTTGGTTTTCTCTCTAATGGGTTCAACAACGTCTATCAGCTGATCTAATTCTTCATATATGAATTTTTGTGATTTCAGGTACCTGACAAGCTTGTCGAAACGGTTCTGACGGTTAACAGCATTTCTCTCATCAGCAGCATAGGTGAACTAGTCTTTCTTCAGAGTTCCTGGGAGCTTTCCCTCGATGGATTTAATCACTATTGTTTTTTTTTATGGCGTCTACATTATCAAGTTCACTCAAATCATAAAGGGCTTTTTCTACTGTTTGAATGAGCTCTATGACTTTCCTTGGCTGGCCACTCCTGACTGGTGGAGTTGCTTGTAATTCCTCAATGATCTCGAGAGCGATGGTGGCTTGGTTCCCAAACCGGCTCTCCAGGATTTGGAAAATCTCGTCTGATGAGTTGTATGTTGACAGGCATAAATCTCTGGCCATCCTCTCATCAAGACTATGGAGCAGCTGAAATTTTTTTTACCTCGCTGGAACCGGTAGGTTCACCCTGCTTTTGCAGAGCCTCCCATTCTTGCCTCCATCTATAGTAGCCTCGCTGGTTACCGCCAAAGTTTGGTAAAGCTGTTGCTTTCAGCTTTATCCCTGCTACTGGAGCTAAACGGCGGCCTGGGGTTCCTCAGTATCTGATTTTATGCTTGCTGCTTTAATGGAGGCGGCCTTCCGCGACACCAGCTGGGGAAGGTTCACCTCCTGCGCTCTTAGGCCGGATTCACATATAGTGCCTAAAAACGCGTAGAAAACGCTGGGCGCGCCGCATTCTCCATTTTCCAAAGAGCCAGGGCGGTTGCGCTTCAGTTGGTTCTTGTCACATGACCTATTGTGTTCATATGGTGCGCTTGCGGTGTTCTGAAAAGTTGAGATGTTTTTATCTCGACGCGGAGCGGACGCGCATGGAAAAAACGAGCGCGTCGCACCGCGACCGCATCGCTTCCATTATGAGCGCCTACTCATAATGCTTGCATACTGCGCGCCTACATTTGAAATAACGAACTTGAGCGCGCAAAAGACGCGATATGTGAACCGGCCCTTAGGCGGCCATCAGCATCTCCTCGTTCGGCTGGCGGGGGCCCAGCGATTCCAGTTCTTATGCGCTTCCTTTGCCTTAAGCACCAACTTCTCTAAGTGGGTCAGCATGAACTCATAAGCCTCCAGAGTTATATCTAGTGGGGTGGAGTAGACATTCTCACACTCCCCCTCTGAAACTAGTATAGCTAAGGACAGTTCTCTTTCTCCATATACAGCCCAGACTGTCTCTCGAATTAGGAGTTTAACTTCTTCCGTCTTTTGCTGACAATATTCCTCCGTCCTTTCTATGTCGGCTCTCAGTAAGGCGCCCAGCTCCTCTGCAGTAACTGCTTTGGACTCTTCCATGTAGGCAGACAGAAATATTATTTATTTCAGGCTGCCTACATGGAAGAGTCTCGCAGGTGCGCAAAATAATTAGCGAACATCAACATCAAGCCCTGGTTCGGTTAAGACACGCCTCATAATCAAAGCCCAATGGAGTGGTCTCAGACTCATTTTCTTATTAGAAAATTAACATGACAAAGTCAGGCTAAACTAAACCAGCACTTCTGACATAAATTTTTACCAGGATTATTATTACAATAGTATTATTCCTCACAGCGTCGTTCAAGACGACTTGAATGTGTTTTATCGAGCTGATGTGGGAGGAGGATCATCTCAGTTCATTTGATTTGAATAGCGCGTGCGCTCTCCGCGGGCATGTTCACATTAGCGATTAATGAGCTGTAATGAGAACGACTGACATCTCTCTCTTTTCATACAGATTACACAAACAGAGAATATTTGTTTTCCTTTTGAATTAGATAATTTAATAGTAGACACTTAAATGATTATAAAGATATTGCTGGTGCCTGGGTGAATAGTATTCGCTGAGTTTTGTTTAAATTTAGAGATGTAAATTTAGAGAAAAAACGTTCACGGAGATGGAGAGGCAGAAAGCACACCCTGTTTATTTTACAAAAGCATAATGTTTTATTTTGATCGTAAGTGGTCACATAAAAAAACAGTTTCTTGCTGCTTTGTGAAAAAAAAAAAAAAAAAAAAAAAAAAATCGAGCAAAATGCACTGGCGTGTTTGCCGACCCCAGAGGGTTAAAGGTATCGACAGATTTTTTCATTACATAACTCCTGACACAAATTAATAGATAACTGTCACTATAAGTTTCTCAAAATAAAAGTGGTGAAATACTGAAACTTGAGTCTTATATTTTTGTAATGATGTATAGTTTGTCAAAATAATAACATTAAATCTGACATTAACTTTGAACTATTTATTCAGTGCGTTGAAGTCCTCGTGAAGGCTAACAGTTAACATACTAAGTCTTTTGTCGCTTTAATATATATATATATATATATATATATATATATTTTTTTTTTTTTTTGCTGTCAGAACAGCGGTCAGGTTACCACAGTGCCATTCATTGCAATTTTGGGAGTGAGTCGTGTTCTGTATATAGATGGAAAGATTATTTAGGGAACGATTATTTACGATAATTTACAAACATGGAAAGATAATTTACGAGACTCACTCTCACATTTAAATGCAGTTGTCAATCCTGAAACTTTACAGTGTTTAGGTGGCCTTACATCCACACTTATACATATATTTTGTAAAGAGAATATCTAAAACAAATCACACCTTTCATTTTGGTTGAGTTTTTTTGTCTGTTGACACACCACTTACCTCAATATCTCCAATGTACACTTTATATTCTTCAGTCCAGTGCAGAGCAGCTTCACTCCTGAATCTTGTAGATTATTATTGTTAATGTTCAGCTCTTTCAGATTGGTATCTGATCCAAGAACTGTAGCCAGAGCTGAACAGCTTTTGTCTGTTAAGTTACAATCATTTAGCCTACAATATAAAGAAATCACATAAAATAATTGAATGAAACATATAGAGTACATTCTCTGTATAAAATACATAAATATTTTCCATTATTTTCACATTAACAGTAAATATACAGTGAGGAGGGTGAGCAACACTGACATAACAGGTCAACTAGTCTTTTCTACATCTTAGATAAAACAGTGTGCTTCGTCCTCTGCTAACCGAAGTTCATGTTTTGCTGAAAATATGTGGTATATGATTAAGCATCACTATAGAGCAGTGTGGATAAAGGAGATGAGACCAAAACATGACTAATTACATTAAATTACTTACAGAGCTCTTTTGGAGGTTTTAATGACTGCCGATAATCTAATGAGACACTCGTCTGATTTCTTGAATTTCTGAAGCTCAAACTCCTCCAGCTCCTCCTCTGATGTCAACAACACAAAGACTAAAGCAGACCACTGGGCAGGTGAAAGGTCAGCAGATGAGAGACTTCCTTTGCTAAGGTGGGTCTGAATCTCGTTCACCAGAGTTTGGTCGTTCAGTTCATTCAGACAGTAGAACAGATTGATGGATCTCTCTGCAGGAAGATTAGCTTCTAATTTCTGCTTGATGTACTGAACTATCTCCTTGTTGCACTGAACTATTTCCTTGTTGCTCTGGTCAGTGTCGTCTCGCTGTGTCAACAGACGTCGTAAGAGTCGTCGATTGGACTGGAGTGACAGACCGAGGAGGAAGCGAAGGAAAAGGTCCAGGTGTCCATTGTCACTCTCCAGCGCCTTGTCCACTGCAGTCTTGAGAAAATCAATCATGGTTTCATTTCTGCTTTCCTGTTCTGTAGACTCATGATCAAACACACTTGTCTTGTTGATGTCTAGAAACAGATGTGCATAAAGGGCTGCAATAAACTCTTGAATGCTCAAGTGAACAAAGCAGTACATGGTACCAAGAACGATCCCTGTTTCCTCCTTAAAGATCTGGGTACACATGCCTGAGTACACTGATGCCTTATAGACGTCAAGACCACAGGCTTCCAGGTCTGTGTCATAGAAGATCAGGTTGTTTCTTTCCAGATGATGAAATGCCAGTTTCCCCAGTGAAAGGGTAGTGTCTTTATCCCAGGAAACATCTGGTGTGTATTCTCCATCATATTTCCGGCGGCTCTGCTGGATCTGAAAGCGGAGAAAGTGTGTGTACATTTGTGTCAGAGTCTTGGGAGTGTCTTCAGTGTTTGATTCCTGCAGTGTTTTAGAGATCTCATCAGCCTGAGTGTTTCTCACATCATTATTTCTCTTCTCCTCCAGAATGTTCTGGAGAACAGTGGCTGAAATCCAGCAGAAGACTGGGATGTGGCACATGATAAAGAGACTCTTTGATTGTTTAACATGATCTATGATTTCATTGGCCATTTTCTCATCTTTGAATCTTTTTCTGAAGTACTCTTGCTTTTGTGCGTCACTGAATCCTCGTATCTCTGTCAGCCGGTCGATACAGTCAGGAGGAATCTTACTGGCCGCTGCTGGTCTGCTGGTGATCCAGACGAGAGCAGAAGGAAGCAGATTTCCCTTCATGAGGTTCGTTAGGAGAACATCCAGAGAGGCTGGTGACGATACATCACGCCACGTCTCATTATAATCAAACTTCAGAGGAAGGCGACATTCGTCCAGTCCATCAAGGATGAACAGCACTTTGAACTGATTCCTTCTTGTAAGGTTCAGTCCTTTTGTCTCTGGGAAAAACTGAGTTATAAGGTCCATCAAACTTAGTTTTTCTTTCTCCTTTAAGTTCATCTCTCTGAATGGAAGAGGAAATATGAAGCTGATATCTTGATTTTCTTTTCCTTCAGCCCAGTCCAGAACAAACTTTTGCACAGAGACTGATTTCCCGATGCCAGCGACTCCTTTTGTCAGTACAGTTCGGATCTCCTCGTCTTGTTCAGGCGCTTCAAACAAATGTGTGCATTCAACCTGTATCTCTTGAGCTTCATGACGTCTGGAAGCAACTTCAATCTGTCTGACCTCATGTTCAGTATTGACCTGTTCACTGCTACCCTGAGTGATGTAGAGATCTGTGTAGATGTTATTCAGGAGTGTGGAGTCACCTTGCTTTGCAATTCCTTCAAACACACATTGATACTTCTTCTTTAGGCCACATTTCAGCTGATGAATGAAGACCAGCTTACCTAAACACAGGAACAGAAAATAGATAGTTTTAGTCTTCATTTACTCTCCTACATTTATAAGAGACAATCAGACAGATGATGACGAGTCTCTTGCCTTCTAGAGCATCAGCAGCTTCATCTTGCTTCATCTCTCTCAGGTAATGAAGTGTGAGATCAAGAGCTGCTTCTCTGATCCTGGATCTGTTCTCATTAAAGTCCTCCACTAAGGATTGTGTGTTCTGTTTTTGTAATATTTTCTTAAACGTTTCCAGCTCATTTCTCAGTAAGGTGATTATTTTGCTCTCAAGATCCTACAAAGCAAAATAAATAATTCAAATTAAATATTTTATAAAAACAAATAAATAAAAGTACAAACTTAAACATTTTAATTAGCTGTAATTATTAATAAATAAAAATAAACTGTTTTCACATTTCATTCTTATTTTATGGGTTCTTAAAATGAAAAGTAAATGGTCAATAATAATTAGAAATGACATTTCTAGTGAGTACTTTTTCAGGAAAACATGATAAATCTATTATTTTTTATAATTATTAAAGCTTTTTTTTTTTTTTTTTTTTTACCTGGAAGATGCACAGGAGATTCTTTGTGAAATTCTTGTGTTTCCTGTGAGTCTGGAAATCTGAATCTAATGTTTCATATTTAAGCCTGTTAGCAAAAAACAAAAAACTTAATACTGCATTTCCTGGAAATATATAAGTAAAATCTCTAGTAATTGATTTTAGTTTAATATATAGTAAATATTTGAAATATACAGCTTTATGTTAATTATTCATTGATACACTTTCTAACACAGTCTGTGACCAAAAGTAAGAAACACATGAAATACCCTTTGGTTGGTGATGGTGTTTTCTCACTGAAGTTTGGGTGGCCACCCTCCTTTGACCTGTCACTCTTCACAGACACAGAGCTGGACACATGTGAACTTGATCAATCACAGAAGAAACAAAGAAAAGAGAGAAAAAAAACACATCTCTACAGAAGATACTTTAGTCTCATTATAAGAGGACGTTTAAATGTAAGAAATGGTAATTAAATACAGTATAGTTGTGTACGTATTTGTCCCTCTCATGACTGGATAGACGGTGTATTGACTTTCCAAAGCCATTGCCGTTGATAAGAGGAGTAAGCAAGTTTAAGCGTACAAACAGAGTCCATGCAGACGGATGTAGATGCAAACAAATGCATACCTGCCAACCTAGAAGAAATTTTATGAGTACTTTTATGCCTTATGGGGGGGGGGGGGGGTTGGGGTGTCATATATTTTTGGCATTATTTTGAGAATGCAAGACACACACAGACACATGCCTATCTTCTGCATAATTCTATAAAAATAGTCATATATTTTTGTCATTATTCTGAGAATGCAAGACACACACAGACACATGCCTATCTGCATAATTCTATAAAAAATTATATACCTCTAAAGGTTTTTTATTTGACACAAATACTAAATTTAACTTGCACTGCAATGCAACAGTGAAAGTACAAAGTTTCAATCCTGCTCAACTCCATTTCTTTATTCATGATTGATTAATATTGTGTTGCATATAATCTGTGCTGTTCAATTAGTCTAAAATAATAATAATAAACAACCTGGATACCAGTAAAAAAACAACAGTTGTGTACATGTTATTTATTTTAAATTGGCTACTTAATTGATTATTCCAATACCCAAATATGATATTAAATCCTACAGGGAAAAGGGCGTATATTTGTGCTTTCTTTGCATTTGAACATTAGGCTACACATTATAAACAGGACACGCATTAGCTGAGTAAACTTTAGCCAATCCAAATAAATTTCTAGAAAACAGTTAACAATGAATAGACAGGAGTCCTGTCACAGACCAAAAATATAATTGATCGAATAAGACGAATATCCGACATAATGAGGGCTGTTAACGGTAAAACGATTTGTAAAAACACGAATAGACAAGACAAAAAGCTTTGACATTATTTTGACAAAGAAAACACAAGCAAGAACTTTGCCTGTCAATTTTTATAAATATCTTTTCTCTGTGTGTGAGCGAGTCTGTTTGTGAGAGAGCTCGCGCAGCGCTGATACATGAGATCATACAGCGGTCGTTTTTAAAGGTGCAATGTGTAAAAAAGTTGAGTATCTATTAACAGAAATGCGATATGACATCCATAACTATGTTTTCAGTGGTGTATAAAGAACTTGCTTAATAAACCGTAATGTTGTTATTACCTTAGAATGAGACATTAATAGCTCCATAACCGCGGGAATCCCCTTCTATGAAGGTCGCCATGTTGTGACGTCATATTTCTACCGTAGCCGAACGCGAACAAACAGCGCTACAGAACGCGTTTTGCCACTACCTTGAAAGAGAAGTAGCGGAAAGCTGGAAGCTAGCCTTACACTCCATGAGCAGTGACTTTTCCCTTGTGAGTGGTGTAAAATATGTAGTTGGGATTGTTTCATGTAACTTAGTTCTCCCTCGCTGTGTTATGGGTTTGTTATGATAGATGTGCTGTTACGTTCGTGAGACAGCTGATGATTAGTATTCATGTCATTTACTGTAAAACAGTATGTTACAGGAATCACTAACCCGTCGATAGAGACTTTTAGATCACTAAAGTCGATTGCGAAGAGTTTTCAAAATCAGAGAAAAAAGCCTAGTAGTAAATAGTATCTATGGGATGCGGAAATAGTATCTATGGGGTGCGCGCGTCAAAAAATGACATGATTGTAACAGCGTGCACACCTCCGACCTTTGGACTCATGCGTACGCGTCCCAGCTCAGCCACAGTAACAGCTCATATTAGCCAGCTAAACTATATATAAAAAATATATAGCTGCTCCCTCGCTGTATTATGGGTTTGCTATGTGGGGAGAAATGTGCTGCTGGTTACGTTTGTGAGACAATCAGCTGATTACTATTATTATATTAAATTATATATTAAAACCCTTGATCCTCACCTGACTATGGCTTTGTAAACAGTATCCATGATGTGGTTTATAATGGATTGTGGTACAGAAACAGTGACAATGTTACACACTCTTGGCTTACTCTGGCTATTCTCTGCTGTCTCAGCCGACAAGATGTTTGTCCCGTTTTAGCAACCGTAGCTTCTTTGAAAGGGAGGGGTGAGCAGTGGGCTGAGCCCTTAGTGCAAACCTGGTGCAAACTCGCAACCGAACCGCTAGATGTCGCTAAAAATCCCACATTGCACCTTTAATCCATAAGTACGCCAACTAACTCTAGTTTTCATACAAAATAAATACGTAACATAATTCTGTACTTTAGTTATTAACATAACGCAACACATGCAGGCTATGTTTCTCAACAAAAAAAACAAAACGCCTGTTTCTCCAGATTCGCTCTTTACGTTATCAGTCATCCACAAACCACAGCACTTTCATAATCACTAAGACATAGCGATTTCAATTTTATTCAGATTTATTGCTCAACATTTGAGCATTTTATAATTTGCATAGCTGAATGTCTTCCTCTTATCTGAGTTACCATGAATGAATTACGGAGTATTTTTTAAATAATCCTTGCGATCCCGTCCCGTGTGATAACCAATCAATTATAAATGAACTCAAATTCAATATTTCAACTTTCCACATCCTCCCTAGCCCGTTTACCTTCAGGAGAAGTACCGTGAGTACTGTAGGCCTACTGTCCTCGCTTAAATCAGTCAGACCCGGGGCACGTGCGAGTGGAAGCAGGATCGAGCGGGATTCTTTATTGGTGTCGATTTTCAGTCTCTTTTTTTCTTTTTCAGTCGATTTTCAGTCTCTAGGACTTACACATCTGTCAATCATCTCCGCTTGCAATTTGGGGAATGAACCCAGCGCTATGATTGGTCGAACGAACCTCTTCTTTTGCATTTGCTTTTTTTGAGGACTGCGCGTGCAAATAGGCGTCACCAGGTTTTTGCGTAGAGTGACAAATCGTACCAGCGTACTTTGAGGTCAAAATGTGTGCCCACTACGCAAAATGCGTACATGTTGGCAGGTATGCAAATGTCTTTCTTTATTCCTTGTGCTCTATTAAACATGATCTCAAAACTTGTCTTAAAACTTCTTGTGGCCTTTCCTCATTAACACGTACACACAAATACCTTGTGGACAGCATAAGAAATCCACCTTGCGAGACACTCTGCTGTGCGGTCAAAAAAATTATAAAAATTAAATGTGCTTCCCAATTACCAACACACACACTCAGGTCCTCTAATTATACACAGCCTTTACCATCCAACAAATGGCTCCTACAGATGGATTTATTCATGTTTGGTTGCATGATATTTTCTGGTAAATTTATGCCCCCTAGTGGCGTTCTGTGTTATTGTGTTACTGGAGAGAAGCTCCAGACTGAGTTCAGTAAAAAGGAAATCAGACTTTTGTTTTCTGTTAATTATAATTCTATTTAGTTAATTTCATCACACCGTGTAGAAATTATAACTCTATAATGTAAAAAACATAAAAATACTTTTTGATAGATGTCTTTTTCTCACTGAAGTTCGGTAAGGCACCATCCTTTGAGCAGTCACTCTCAGACACAGAGCTGGACACATGTGAGTCTGATCTTTCACTAATAACAAATAGAGACAAGATAAAGTTTAATTACAGAAGTTCATTAGTGTCTGATAACGGCACAAACTTTCTAGTCCTTCACAGATGGAATGTTATAAAGCATTTGCACAATCATTACTGAAAACTTTTTGTAGAATTTTTTACATTCATTTTAATTGTAAAAATCAACGTACATTTAGCCTATAACACTACTTTAGTACTGCAATGTAACACTTCTGCTGAATGAGAGGCAGAAAATATTGATTTAGACTGTAAATATTAATTTTCCTTTTTAGATTTAAGATGTTTATCATCCACCGGCCACAAAATAATGATATTGTATGCTATTTTTTAAATAAGAAGTTCTGAAAAGCATTTGCAAATATAAAGCAATGCTTAGTTCTTCACAGGAAGAATCTAAAACTTCAGTAGCTTAAAATGATTGTGAAAACAGTCGCAGTCTTACCTCTGTTCCTCTGAGAGACTCGTCTTAGAGAGAGAGTCATTTCCTCGCTCCTCTGACATACTGCAGCTAAACTAACATTGGAAACAGATCAGCACTGGTTTCAGTTTGACCTGGAGATGGCAATATATGTTCCTGAGATTAATAACATGGCATAAAATAACATAGTCAAGAAAATAATGAAGAATGTGAAGTTAGCAACAACAAACACTACAACATAAATTGAGTCATGCCTCTAAGTGAATAGACATTAACACTGTGTTCAAATCATTGAGAGGGAAAATTTGTTACAGTCTCTATTGCAGTTTAGTATCATTTTACAATCATATTTATTGATTCATGAATTGTTGATTCTTTTGTCACTTGATCATTATTTCAAGTTCACAATATATTTAATCATTTTCAAATGCTCTCCTCAATACGTGTATCATTCAGTGTTTTTTTAATTTAATATTGAAAGTAGAAAAATTTTAAAAATAAAAAAGAACAAGAATTCAGCTTGCTCAAGGGTACAAAAATGCAATACACAACAGGACCACATGGAGATGCCAACTGACCACTATACCAGCTGCCTTAACCTTACAGCAAAATACAAATGAAATATTAAACATTTTGAAAATGGCGACCTGAAGGCGGCTCGAGCTCATCAGTGAACAGTTTCTCTGTCAGAGTCAGCGTTTGTGCCTGTGCTTGGAGTGATGTCTGATGTCGTTTTGTGTGTGTGTGTGTGTGTGCATATTAGCGTTAAAATGTATTGTTTCCGCATTAAGGGAAGAGACAGGAGGCATCAAAAAACGTATAAATATGATCCTGAGTAGTCGGGGTCCGACCTGCACCTGTGGTCCGCAGTGTGTGTTCTGCATTGAGGTGCTAGCAAATGATAACATGAGACCATACAAACTTCAGTGTCGCATTAAAACTGAGCACACAAGTTTAGTGAATAAGCCAGTTGAGTTTTTGAGAGGAAGCGTGATGATTTGCAGTCACAAAAAAGCAGAATACAGCTGTTGGGCACTATTAACATGAAGGCGACAGAAGCATCTCATCGTGTCACGGATAGCGAAGGCAGGCAAACCCCATAACATCGGCCAAACACTTCATTACATTACACACGTCAAGCATGTTTTGTTGACTTATGGTTATAGGCTTACTGATGTTTAGTGATTTTAAAAGTAGCCTCAATTGTATGGGATTACCTTTGTTCCAATTAGTGTTGTCACGATACCAAAATTATTGTTTCGATACCAATACCAAGTCAAGAATTGCGATTTCGATACTTTTTCGATACTTTTCCTGAAAAGAGTTGGAAAAGTATTTCTGAAAGTATCTCCTGAAAGTATTTCTTACAAGGCGTTTCACATGCACCTCCTTTGTGTAGGTCTGTGTGCTCTTTAAATGTTAAATAACCTAATATAAATAAATCACTGACAAACATGCACATGCTCTGATTATAATCATATAGCATAGATCATTTTAGCTGGTGTTATTTTAGCAGCTTGCTAATTATTTATGCTATCTATGAAAGTTGGGGGGGGGACTTGTACACCTAATACAAAAATAAATAAAACATCTCCAACTAGCAGATAATTAATTTAGTTCACTATTAAATAAGAGATATATTGCTAAAATCTGTTGTTCTTTTTAAATCAAGCGGAGCGCTCTTTTTCGCTGCCATCAGTTGCACGGATACAGTGTCTTTTGCGGCTCACGCACCATCTTCACTCGGAGTGGGCACGCGCTTCAATCTATCGTTGCGGAGACTATTGTGTAGTCCAGATGGTGTTGCTAAGAAATTGTAAATTATAACTATCAGACCGGCCCTCGCAGCCTCGAAACACTCCCAGTCCACCAGGAAGAGTCCTGACTCTCTGTGAACTGCCTCTCCTCTACTGACCGACGGCCACAGTATCAGTTGTGCTCACTCGCGCATGCAGCTGTCTCACTGTAGTGTTTGTCTCATGACAGCTGCAGCTTCTTTGCTGTGTGCGTGAGGAGAAACCATAGACTGTAAAAAAAAAATGGACGACGCCCCTTCGCTCTTTTCCATCAGAGAGAACCGAAGCTGCCAGTGTCTCGATATGACGCTGACATCTTGGGACCCGAGTCTGCGCACTTGCGTGTTTCGGTACCAGTCATGCGCAGTCGTGAGCAGGAAGTAAAGCCGCGAAATCAAGGCCGCGCCCTCATTCGCGCTGATTCAAACGCAAGCACACGCCCCGCACTTTCATTAAGTGTCCTCTGTCGCTTCGTTCTTCTCCAATGATGTCCGCTGATTGCAGAACCTCGTTAAAATAAGGTAAATACAACTACTAACCACATAATCAACATTATTAAAAAAGTCCGCTGGTGCTTCAGTGACTACCTCGCACAGAGAACCTGTCAATCACAGCTGTCAATCATGATGTCAGAGCGCCGTTATTTTATCATCACATAACTAACTAAAAACAAACTGATTTTAAAAACGAACACTTGAAATTACATCAACGTGATAGAAACTACAGTAAATGACAGAAACTATCTTTGGGAAAAGGATATGTGAAGTGCAATTTAATTGTTTAGTTGGTCTCGCGTCCCATTGAATAACATGGGGAGGCGGGATTTATGAGCTATACTAGGACCGGCCACAGGGGGGCGATCGAGACGTTTTGGCTTCACTTTTGAGGGCTTGTGCGGCACGGACACAGACGTCCATACAGCAGGGAGGCACTGGAAGTGTGCGTTGCACACACCAACATTAAATACATCTCTAACAAATCTGGTACGCGGTCAATCTTAAAGTATCCCCAGATAGCAGACTGACATTGAATCAACGTGGAAATATGACATCGAAACAACGTTGATCTGACATTGTTTTGCTCATCGAATTAACGTTGATCCAACGTCAGATGCGTCATTCTTTCAAAACTAACGGAAAATCAACTTGAAATCAACGCGTTGTTTCAACGTTATGAAAGCAAACCAATTTTCGATTTTCATTTAGCTTTGAAGAATGCCGCGTCTGACGTTGGTTCAACGTTAATTCGATGAGCAAATCAACGTTGTTTCAATGTCATGAGAGACGTCGTTTCCACGTTGATTCAATGTCAGTTTGCTGTCTGGGTCGATACTAATAAATTTAGGTATCGATTTAGGTATCGAGTTTCGCGATACATTTGAAGTATCGGTGCACCATGCAACACTAGTTCCAATAATAATGAACGTAATTTTTCAAGAAAATAATGCAATTGAAACTAAATAAAATATCATTTAAAAAAAAGCATTTTACAGTGCATGTTAACTGCATTCACATCTTTCTTTCGCTGATCTGAACTTACTAATGCGCTTCCAGACTTTTCACAAATGCATCTGAAGTTTTCGTTCGACTTTGACACATATCTCTCGTGGGGGCGGGGCTAGCAGCAGTGAGTTATCATTGGCCACTGAGTTTTTGATTGACAGCTTCTTGACCTGGAAGAGAAGACGTCAATGTTGTCTTTACATGTGTGAATGTAAGCGTCTGCCGCTTTCTATTTCATTTTAGTGATAAGTTATGAGTTTAGTTTTTACATTTATATCTGTATTTATCTGCTGCTACTACTTTGTCGACAGAAGCTTTTAGGAGCGCAAGAGATCTATTCAGTCTATTCAGGGGTAATTGTACATTTTCTACTGTATATAATACTGGAAATATTATAGCCTAGTGCCTAATGTTTTCTGAGAATATTTGTTTATTCCTGATGATTCTTCAGCATTGTAGGCTATGATTAGGTTGAGCTGTTACAATTAAAAGAGAATACTAGTAAACGCGTGTGTGATATATTAATCATCCGTCAAGAAAGTGTCACTTCAACCAGGGAATCAGGGCTGGTAACCATGGCCATCCCACTACTCATTGTTAGCATGCATTTGCACCATCACAATTAATGATCATTTAATTAAGAGGAATTTACACCATATGAAAATTACAATCTGGCTTCCTGTCGGATGATACATGCCAGGGCATTTCATTATATATTTTACACAAAGAATGTTCTTGTTGCCATTTTTTATCATGCTGATAATTTTATTTAGCTATTTCATTTAGTTTTTATATTATCTGCTAACATTTAAAATTAGAAATACATTTATCAACAATTTCAAATGTGATTTATACAACCTGTTGAATAAATGTAATTGAAAATATGATTTGATTCAAATAAAATGTACATTCTTTGTCACTACAGCATATACACAAGTTTCAAAGTGAAAGTCTTGAAATTATGTTGAATCATTACCTGCATACAATATATGCACAGTATTCTCTTGATATACATTACTATACAAAATGCACAAGAATAAGGATACATATTTAAATTTCATATACATTTTTCCCCACGAGAGATATGTGTCAGAAAGGTGAACGAAAACTTCAGATGCATTTATGAAATATCTGATTCTGGAAGCGTATTTGTAAGTTCAGATCAGCGAAAGAAAGATGTGAAAACAATTAGCAAAACATGCAGTGTATTAAAAACGAAGTCAAAAAAATTTGCCTGTCGTTTTTTTTTTTTTTCAGTTTCACAGATATTTTATTCAGTTTCAATTTATATTTGCATCATTTTCTTGAAAATGTACGTTCATTATTATTGGAAAAAAGGTAATTCCTGCATTCAAGTAGGCCTGCATAAAGTTATGCTGTTGCAAAGATGAATGCACTTTTTAGAAAAGTTGTGGAAATAAAATGTCTTTGAATGCAAAATTAAAAAAATATTTTCATTTTATCAGATTTTCTTGAAACTCCTCATTGCCAGGAACACACTAAAGATGACATTTACTGCAGAGGTGTAGGTGTGTGTGTGTGTGTGTTAGGGCAGGCGGGCGGGATTTTGGGGAAGGGGAGCTCAGCTGTCCTAACCCACTGTAAGGAGAGGCTCACATTCACCCAGTTGGCTTTATGCCCAGCTGCACTACTTCCTGAACTTCAGCCAGCTCCTTGGCCGTTTCTCAATATGCCTTCTTGTCTGTACTTGTGTTCTTGTGGACTTGTAAAACGTCATCAGTCGCGGCCCAAGTACTGTCCCAATACACACGTTTGCATTTAGGCAAGAACGGTTAAAAATCCCGGATGTGTTCTTGACACTCCTATTTTACCGAGGATGCATCGGTTGGTAACTTGTGTGAACTTGACGGCAGAAATATCCCATAATTCATTTCGGCATTCGCGGAAGGAGCGGGAAGCAGAGAGAGGCAGGTCAAAAGTTACCTGAATATTACCGGCGTGTTTTCCCGCCATTGGCTAGTGATGTACACAAACAAACAACAGAAGCAGAATTAAATTGAGACAGGTGTTGCTTTATTGTTGTGAATATACATTACTTTGTAGTGTATGTAGAGTAATTCCTTAGGCTTGGGCGATAAAGCCTGGCTGTATAATAATTCTCGTTATGTTTGGGCACTGCAGACGTCGTCTGTGCGGGGGTAACGTTACTATTGCGCAATACCAGCAAGAACACATCGTCTCAAACTATCAGCAGCGTTCTGTGTGCTCGTCACCTCGTGAGTTCGTTCTTCCAAGAACAACTAGCAAGAGCTTTCTTCCCAAGAACACAAGTCCGTTCTTTGCATTCTTGGTTTTGAGAAACGGCCCTTGTTTCCTGTCTGACATTATTGGCCAAATTGATTAATTCAGGTGTGTCTGATTATTGTTGCCATGACTACTGAGGTCAGGTACACCTGAATTAATCAATTTGGCCAATAATGGCAGACAGGAAACAAGGAGCTGGCTGAAGTTCAGGAAGTAGTGCAGCTGGGCATAAAGCCAATTTGATTATTACAGTTAGACAGCAGTTAGAAATCTGTGACAATAAATCAAGTGGGCCCACACACACACCCATGTCTCTCATTCAGTCGTCTGAAACTAAATAAATTGTTGCAGGTCTGTGACGTGGATTGAAAGCTTGATGGCCAAAAAACAACAAAAAAAAACACAATGGCTTCACTTTAAAAGAAAACAGAAATAGTTTAAAGCGCTTGGCCACTCACCGTCACGACGTGAGGAGATATCCAGTTGCCACGATCGTCAGGCCCAACTGGACAAGTTCAGTCAGCAACAGTTTAGCAGACACGGAAACCGGTGAAGAAAGGGCCTACTCGACGCCACAAGTCCATGGACGAGGAGGTTATCAACATATAACTAAAAAAACACCTGTTCTAGGGATGGCTGACGCGAAACAGACGTTCCGAAGCTCTGCAAGATCCCGAAGCGCATATGATTTGAAAGTGAAACAGTGATTCAAAACACCCACGTCATGTGACTACGGCTAAATTAAGCTTGAGTGTTTCAACAGGTGGCCCGCTAAATCAGGGTTTGACTTAGCCTGGTATGCCAGACCTACATCAAGATGTTAGGTCTGGAAACTCTTCATTGACAGGGCTCAATCCGAGGGGCGGGATAAACGGTTGTCTTTCAAATTCTCTCTGCACGCAATTGGATAGCGCTAAAGCCAATCAGAGCAACAAAGAAGGTGACGTACTCAGCGGAGCAAGTTGATATATTAAACTTTTACCGCATCCAGTCCAGCTGTCAACATTGAAAATAAGGGAGATTTCCCGGAATACATCCCCAAAATAAGGGATTTTTAAAAAATGTTTACACGACCCACAAACTTTAAAAATAAAACACTAATCATTAAATGTCTAAATATGTGTGAGAGAGAAAGAGACAGTATGTCAGTGTGTGTTTGTGTGTGAGAGAGAAAGAGACAGTAGTGTGTCATTAAAAAAATAACATCATAGAGAATGTTTAAATACTAATATCAGCTTACGAGGGAAACGAAACGAGGCGGAGTAGTGGTGCTTCGGGGTGCTGGAGATAATTCGGGAGAGATCCGTGCACCATAACCGATAAGAGCGCGCGTTGACACGGAATAAAGCCTTTGTCCTCGACGACAAAATGACAAGTTGATCGTCAAGCAAAAGCTTTTTTGTAACAGCGCGCGCGGCGCCGGCCGCATCCGAGGATGAACAACTACCCGAATATGTCCGAGCTTGCTCTGATGATGATCGTCGCAACTCTGTCGTCACTTTGTTAAGCCCGCCCGCCGACTCTATACACGATGTGATTGGCCCTACCAGAGTTGAGTTTTTCCAGCTAAAACGTCTATGGAGAGTTGCTAGACCACACTTTGCTGCAAAATAATTTTTGCTGCCGCTATGTGCGTCTAGATTTCTAGGCTAGGTTTGACTGATAGGTCGGTCGGGAACTAATCAGTCAATGCATTTTCACATCGTGGGTTTTTGAGAGAGGAGTTTGGTTTTGAGATACCTGATTTTTTGTGATATAGAGAGCCTAAGTCCCGCCCCTCCGCTTCCGGCTCATGGGACCTTCGGAAAAAATATGAATGGTAGTCAATGGCGAGAGACAAATTATCTTTTTATTCCGTCTGAACTGTGACCTCAATTACACATATGATGTTTGTCAATTTAAAAGATAATTCTGAAAGTCAAAAACGTCGCAGTTTGTCATACAACAGAAGAGTAACATGTAGTTTTATGTGAAAATCGCTCTGTGAACTACATCTCCCTGGAAGAGAAACGAGATCCGCTGCTCGTGTGTGTGCAGTCTGGTACAAAACACTCAGGCATGACGGCGTAACGTTACGAATATAACGTACGACTGTAGAAACAATGACAGACAGCCTCAGTAAAGTTAGCTTCATTCATTGGGAGAAAATGTGCGCCTTTGGGGTTTGTAGTCTTTGTGATTACGTATTTTCACAGTCTTATACCTCAACGGTTTTACATCAAACTGCTACTTTCTTTACTTTAAAATGTATCTTTTAAATTGACAAACATCATATGTGTAATTCAGGGCACAATTCAAACCAGATCAAAATATTTGTTGTCTCTCGCCATTGACTACCATTCGATATTTTTCCGAAATAAGGTCCCATGGTGGTCGACCGGAAGGGGACGGACTTAGGCTCTCTATAGTGACATAGTTCGATTTGTTTAGTTATATTTTAGGCTTCCATTTAAATTTACACATTGACTGAGAGACAGACAGAGTACATTGACAAATTAATAGATGCAAGGATAGAAATATTGATGATGATGGATGGATGGATGGATGGATGGATGGATGGATGGATGGATGGATGGATGGATGGATGGATAGATACTCCTAAATCGCACCAAAGAACGTATATTGACAAGAAGTGAAAGCCAATAAAACGTTCCATTGCAACACCAGCGCCCAGCAGCAGCCCTACGCTTCCGCCATTTCGGGGTGAAAGCGACTCGACAGTCATTTAATATACATATATTTAGTCCAGTGCAGAGATCATTTTTAGGTTGAAATAATTAGGCTAGGTGATTATTTAACGAACAACAGTTAACTTTATAGCAGTTAAAAAAGAAGTTGCTACTTAATTGGGCTTTTACCCCCATAACTTGAGACAGGGAGGTTCAAGGATTTAATTCATTATATTACTCTCCACATTAAGTATGATAGGTAAGAATAAAGTGATATCAGTTCATAAAGTTATAATAACATTAGACCGTTTCCCGGGAGGTACACATAACATTACTTACAAAAATAAGTTATCAATGAAATAAATTAATTCAGCAAATAAATGTTGTACTAAAATGTAAATGTTTGACAATAAATATATAACAGCAACAGAATAGCTTTACAGTAAACAGCTTTACAGTTTTTTTTTTTTTTTTTTTTGCAGTACTCGCCTATCTTATATTAATGACCGTTAAAGCAAGACCATGTAAACAAACAAAAAAACACAGACAATGTCCAAAGTGGCAATTAGTTATAGGATAACGGACACAGCGCAATGATTGTAGCATGTGAATCATGTTTGTAGCATGATCCAGGGGATTAAAACGTCCAAAATATATTTCAGGCCTAGTGGCGTTGGTAACTAATAATAGTAGTAAACGTGTAAAGTTGCATACAATGGAAATACTCACTAATGCAAGAAAAAAACTACCTCAAAAAACTGTTATCTGTGCTGTTGTCCAGTAACTCCAGTTGGAATTAGCAATATATTTGTAAAAGGTGTTTTTATGCATTTTTGGATGCATTTACACTATTCTGACCACTAGGGGTCACTCTCGAGATGGGTGTCGGATTGACTAGACGCCTCAACACAATGTAGCACATTACATTAGCTTCAACTGTTTCAGCACCCGAGACCCGAGGACCGTGGACCTAACCCGGGACTCGTACAGGTTCGGGTCTATCTTTTAAATGGTTAGCCACCGGGTCCCAATCTATTACTTCGGGTCCTGGGTCTGTTTAGGCTACTTTTGAGAACACCCGGCCGTGATCAGAGTCAGTCAGCACTGCTTGTGTGTTTTTTGTAACTTGCAACTTGTAAAATTAGGATAAGAAAAGTGTGAGCCAGGAAATAAGGTTAAAAACTCAAAAGTTATTATGTTGGACTCAGCTGCCATAGACCCACCAGTCTCTGAAACTGTTTCACAGCGAGTGACTGGCCTAGTTTTACCCCATTTGCGGCTGAGAGAATCGTCGCTATCCACAAGTTTCCTACGCCCCATGAGGCCTTGCGTCAAAAGTGGGCGCGACTTCCGGTTGGAAGTAAACAAAGCGCGACTTGACATGCTTGACACTCGTTCATTCAACAGTTGACAGTCATTCAAGTTATAGCGATCCAAACTAGCTAACGATGTGGGAACACAACCTCAACGAAATTAAAAAAGGTGAAATAACAGTACCTTTACCCTCCGCAGTAGTTGATTGGGATTATTATAATAACATTATTAATAATCAATACTCATCAAGGCATGGTGACAGACAGTTGTGCGAGCTGACAAACAATTAAAATAAAAAATACACACTTAGTCATTGTGCTTTGGAGTTTATTCAAAATTATAAATGAATGTGCTGCTTGAATACATTAACTGGCACACTTGCACAGGCTTTGATCCTGAGTTTAGCTGTAACATCAGTAGCGAACAGCCAATCACATGCTGAGAGAGTTTATAGAATATTAAGAATTTAAACAAATGTACACAGGAAGATTCGTCGTCTTTTGGGAGGTGATGGAAACTACAGTCGTTGGCAGGATCACTCTGATTTCGTTCTCAGCTTATGTTCAAAACAATCACGTTTAAGCCACTGAATTAGTTTAGTCCGGTTATACATACAACCGCGAACAGCACATGTTGTCCCTGAGCTCCGTAACGACATCTCTCATAAAGATTAGCGTCTTTAAATAGTAAAATAATTCTCAGAAAAACAGCTAGCCTCTTCGCTAACTAACACACAAAATACCATTGGAATGCTACTTCCGCCGCCTCACCGGAAGTTTCACCCACTTTATTTTTTACAGGAGCACCCCTCGGAAACTTGTGGATAGGCTACAAGCAGGGGACAGTCGTGAGACGGATCGACGAGGAAGAAGCTTTTGAATGTATTGTAATTATGAACACACAGTTTTGCATACTAATAGTTGCGTTTACGGCACTTTGTTAGATGAACAGTGATGTTTCACACATTCACAGAAAACAGCCCACTTCCGGCTCGCAAAACAAACTGGATACTGTTTTATTTTTATGAATAAATAAATAAGAAGAAGATACTAAAATGCAAAGACCAATTTAGAAGTCAAATTATTTCAGCGTACGTTCATTCGACCGTTTCAAAACACTCGGTACAAAACATAAGAGCCATTGGGAAAGCTGAAATATGTGGCTTTAAACCAAACAGTTTGGCATTGTTTCGCAAGACCCCAGTAGCCCTGAAAGGTTTATTCCCAAATCCAGCGAGCCAAACGCGTCCCTGTGTCAACAGCGTGTGGGCAAACAGACTCACCTATCCGTCACTGCGCCGCTGAATGGGCCCTTTCTCCGGCCGCTCCTCCGAGGGATTCCCTCGCTCCGGACCAGTGCTTCCTCCACACCGCTGACTGACTGCAGGAGCTCGGGTAAACAAGCCCCGCTGGGCAGGCACAGGTTAAAGTGGACCGAGCCAGTCCTGACGGCGAGCTGAGAGCAAATCACGGCCGTGTGAATACGCGCATTCATTTCAGCCGTGGTCATGGAAGACATCAAACTAGAGCACATATCAGGCCACATTAGGCTACTACACTGATTTTTTTTTTTATTATT